CTGTAATCCAAATTCTATATCGATATTCCTTGCATGCAAGTAGACATATTATTTAATACATACTTTAGAACAGAGTCACAGACCAAGTCCCTGATAATGCAAGGATTGTTACAGGATGAGAATGAAGACAGCAATGGCAGTAGGACAAACAAAATGAAAAATTCGAAGAAGAGGAGGAATAGTTCTCACAGTTTGAAAAAAGTGTATGAGAAGCAGTGGGAGGAGAAAGAAAAGGCAAGGATAGAGAGGGAGGCAGCTATTCAAGCAAAGAAGGAACAGAGAGAGAAAGCTGAAGCCCAGAGGAAGGTAGAAAGGAAGGAGATGTTCAAAAAGACAAGACATGGTCAGCCTATAATGAAATATAGAATCCAGCATCTCTTGCACTCTATACAGGGTTCACCTAGTGGTGCCTCGGGTAATACAAATTAGTGATGTAAAACGCGTTATTTGTTGTTTTGTCCTTCATTAGTGCTTACTGTAGCTGGTATAGAGAACATGTGAAGCAGTGCAGTGCAATTTTCCAATGTAGTTTTGAGTACCCAAAACGGGAGTTTCTTTATACTGCTGAATACCATGATGTTAGTTTCTTTAGCGGCCCACTGGTAAAGTGAATGTCGATTATGGTGAATCCCGTCACTTTTCATCTTCAAAGTTCCTTTACCTTTTCTTACGACAATAGTCTTATAAATATTGGTTTTATACAAGCATATGAAACATGCCCTAGAAAGTTTATTCTCTCATATCTTGTTCTTTTATCGCTTATTCTTGCTTCTAATTTTTATAGTTTTTACCATTTGACTAATATGAATTTGATGAATCAGTGTATAATGTGGTTAAATGCAAAACTATTACAAACAAATGCAAAACTATTACAAACAGCTGCAAAACCAAATGAAATTAAAAAAAAAGTAACAAAAAGAGTTCATGAAAGTCACTTGCAACCAGCAGCAATGGCAGCAAGTCCATGGGTTGAAAACCCTTCGCAAGAAAAAAAGCACCATCACTTTGAAATTCTTAAACGACTTAGCTATAAGCTCCAAGCTTTCATCCGTAACTACCATCCTTTTAAGCCGAATCTCTTCAAGCCAAGGATAGGCGCCATCCATATTGACGAACCACGGAAGAACGTAGCCACCCCAACCGTCTGGCACCAGATTGAAGGCCCCGAAGCGTGGCTTCCCTGTCAGCTCAATGGATCTAACTTCCGGGAACCGCTTAATTACCATCCTAGGCCTCACGGCATAACAGTTCCTGATAAACACCTTCCTCCAACGCCAACGTTCGATTTCGTACCACGATTTACACACCGCCGATACCGCGTTTCTATCTTTGTCGGAATGGATGAATGTGAAGAAGTGCTCCAGCACTTCATCCGGAAAGGAATATATCATTTTCTTTTAGTTAAAAATGCACGCACGAAACAAAAAATCTAAGTCTTTTGATCGGAAAAGAACAACGATTGTTCCTCTTAAAGTCTTAATACATTGTAATAAAAGACATAATTAAATTATAGAAACATAAATGACAAACATATATATTTTTGTTCTTTGGCACAACATTCTCAAATTTATGGCGATATTTGTCACATCCGTTACTCTAGTACTACAATCGTCATTCTCTATGTCCTCCAAGTAAAGATATTTTGTGAAACCCAATAATCTAATTTAGTTAGAACATAAAGGAAATCCAATACACGAACAAACACATCGACAAATCCATAATTACGATGAAAAATATATGCAGATTTAGAAAGGGAAAAAAAAGGTATATCTTTTGTTTTCTTTAAAGGAATGTGATGTAATTTAAATTTACTTTAGAAAGAATGGGGGAAGTAAAAGAAGACTATGGCAGAAAGAAAAACACAAACTGAGGCGACAATCACTAGTCTGATAAAGCAAAATTGATTCTAAAGATTGAAAATTGGCTTTAAAAAATTTATACCCTAACATTTGGTTAAATTATAAATCATATATTATAAAATTTGAAGATTTATAAATAAGTATTTGAAATTATACCTTAATCCATAATGGTCTAAAATTTATACAGTGAATAATTAATGAGCGGGCGGATGCGAGGCGGGTAAGGTCTCAAATCCATCACCTACCCACTACACATGGTGAGTATGACTTTTTACATCCGCAATCGCTTAGTACCCACTAAACTTGTACCCATCCCCATCCCAATTGGAGCGAATGCGGTATGGAATCACGAAATTGTACCCATTTACCATCCCTAGATACGAGTGTATAATTATTATGATTATTGGTAGATTTACATATTCAAAAGATATAGTTAGTTGATATAAGTATGTTAGATCACATTCGTGTCCAAAAGGTCATAACTTCTTCAAAGGTGTTAAATGTTGAGATCCTTTCTCCATAGATGCTCTCTTCGAGATTTAATATACACAGGTCAATCTTATGAAGAGGATTTAAAAGATATACGACATAATTTAATTTAATTTTTTTATTATGATATAAAATAAAATTGTAAATTTAAAATCATGAAAAATCAGTAATCAAACTTTAGTACTATACAAGATTTAAAAAGAATTAATAGTTTATTCAATTAGAAACATTGCAGCATGAAAATCATATAACAAAAGGTTGAATTTAAGGAGTTGACTATAACCTTAATAACGGAACTTAACATTAGGCCAATTATTTGACAAATTGACCAGCTTATGTTGTAATAATAAACAACTCTAACCAATCTTTAACAAGGTTCAGCTTAAACCAATAGAAGGATAAGCATAAAACACCCCTGATCTAAAGAGTGAAAAACAAAATCAATATCCACATATTTTGGTGAAAATTTGATAGTGATTTTGTCTAAAACAATTAAAGCCAAGGGTAAAGTATGTGAATGGTCCCTCGATTATAGGATGATATTTGATGAGTCTCTCGATCATCGAAAGTTACAAAATAATCTCTCAATTATAGGATGTTTCTTTGTTGAGTCATTCTACTGTTAAAAGTTATAAAATAACCACTCAAGTATTTATATGTTCCGAACTCGTTTTTTTCGTTAAAAATTTGACGACGTGTGAATAGTTAGGGTGACCAGTTTGTAATTTTTAATAGTCAATGAACTCAACAAAATAACACCCCATAGTAATTCAAAAAATGTAATTATTAAATTATTATTATTTTTAATTTGAGTAATCAAACATAAATACAAATTAAATTTAAGGGTGAACAATGTAATTTACCTTTTAGTATTTAGCTATCACTTTCTATTAAAAGAAGCTATTACTTTGTAAGCATTGATGGTAGACCGAAATCCATGCTGCTATACACGTGGCACTTAGAAATTGCAGTAATATAGTGGTTTGCCTACATTTGTTGCATTATTTAAAATCATTTGTGTATTCGATTATTTGTGATATAACGCTTAATTTTATGTATAATTTGTACATCAATTCATTAATTTCACAATGAATTTAAAGAGGCATTAATTGGATAATGTGTTACAACAATCCAAGCCAATTGATATATGATGCCATTGCCACCGAATGTTGGACCATATGCAATTACCCAACTGTCATACCTCAAGCAACCAAATAATAAAAATGTTGTGGATCCACATTTACTCAACCAATTCCCTTTGTTTGTTTTATTATGCATTTATTGTGTATATGATAAAGAAATAGATTGGTTTTAATGGGACATAAAAATATTTTTAAGGTATATATATATATATTGAATTAAGGCGAGTTTACTGATAATATAAAGTTTTTGTATAAGATAAGTATAAATAAAATTTTAAGGTAAAAATCATCATTAAAATGAATAATTAACTAGAGAGAAGTAGTAATGTTGAAGCATATTTCAGTCTCTTGAAAGGAAAAAAATCTAGTTCTCTCTCGTTAATGTGTCACTCATTTCTTTTTTTTTGGTCTTTGTTAATTGACGGTGACATCAATTTTAATGTTAATTGCCGACAATCGATATTCTTTATTGTCTTTTTCTTTTCTTTATATCGTATATATATATATATATTATTTTCAATAAGCCTGTTTATATGGCACGTTTTTATATGTCTTTATGGTACATTTTCTTTTGGCTTTTGGTATTTTTTCTGTCGTTTTCATTTTTTTAAGGGTTGATTTGACATGACTACGACTGATCAAGATAGTGCTTATATGATATATTGTTGATCTTTTATACTTTGGACTCTCAAATTGGATGTGGATACTCGATTTACGTTTCTGGATAGCTTTTTGCGTCGTTCGAGTCTGATTTGTGGTTTATCGATGGTCTTTCAATAGCTTAATCCCCTTTTGTGGTTCATTTGCTGATGCAATCAGATCTGTGTATGTATCTTTGTTCGAGTTTATTGGTTATATTTTTAATCTTTCCTTGTATGGTCCTTATGTGATTTTAAATTGTTAGTTTTGTTTCAATAATTATGTATTTAATATTTTGAATAAAATTAGTTGTTTATGTAAAAAAAAATGAACGAATAATTAACCGAATGAATTTTAGATTTCAAAATATCATTTATCCATCCCGAATTACAATTGCATCCGCCACACACGTTGTTTTCTCAAATTAAAAGTATTTAACTTACTGTTGCTATTTTGAAATTGAAAACGTGTCTCAAACAAAACTACCTTTCACCATCGGATAATCTTATTAGGAAGAACCAGACTCTAACATCAATATGTTGTATAGTATATGATTTCTCTCTTTGATTTTCCTTCAATAAAAAAGAATAGGTTTTGAAGATCAAACTGTCTCGATCGATAATTTCATGAAGAAATGACTGGAGACAACATCAAATTAATAAAAAAAATGACAATATATAAACAACATTGGTGACATTAATCCTCAATTTAACAACCGATGGGTTCTCGACGCTTGTTAAGGGGTAACGTTGAATGGTAGATGAAAACGGCCTGTAAAAGAAGAGTAGTTGAAAGATGAGACTGGTAGGCTTCTTGGTTTTGACTTGTAAGAGACACCCAACACTTAATAACTACATCTTGCGTCCAAGCTACTTCCAAAACATTCATTCATTCGCCAATAGCTTGAAAGGATCGGCCCTTCCAACTTGTCTAAGTTTTCCCACAATAGCTCCGTTTCAAGACTCCGATTATCTCTTCAGCAACGCTTTCCTAGTGGTGAACACTGATTGAAGACCGAGCTTCTGGATAGCAATGGGACCTGGTGGACCGGGAGGAGGACCAGGAGGTCCCGGAGGCGGCTTTGGGCCTGGGGGTCCAGGAGGTCCTTGGGGCCCTGGATTTGAAGGGCCAGGAGGACCTGGAGGCTTTGGTCCCGGTCCTGGAGGTCCTTGGGGACCTGGATTTGGAGGTCTTGGTGTTTGGCCTGGTGGTTTCTTTGGCGGCTTTGCTGATGGTTTGTGCAACATGATATCTTCATGGTAAGCAATCAATCTCATTGTTAATTCTGCTCCCATGTATAGTTAAATGCGTTTTGATTGAGCTTTTACATTGTCTGGACTTGAAGCTTCTACTGCCTCTGTTGTTGTTGGCTACTACAAGACTGCTTCGGCGGACTCCGTGGCTATGGCCCTCCCCCTTTCTAATAATCTGCTGCCTGCTGCCCTGCTAAACTTTACTATCTAGCAACTGCTTCTTATTGTTGTTTGTTTTCCCTACTAATTTCGCCTATTTCCCTGTAAACTTTTGTCAGCGTTCATAAATGATGTTATAGACTGGTTGGAATTTCCTTGTTTTTTTTTTCTTTCTTAATACCCACCCTAGTATTCCCACATTCACCCAGAACTTTAAAAGTGGATATCAACAGTTTTTCAAACTGTTAAAAAGGAACATAAGATGAACATTTAAAAGGCACAATTTGAGAAATGAGTAAGTGCACATAAAAAATGGATAAAAAATCTCCAACAAGGGAACTCCTTAACAAATACCAAAACCATTCACAGTTTTCCTGCTTCTTTTTGCTCAACAATCAAAGAAACAGTCATGTTAACAAAGCACACAACCAACATGGTGGTCGATTGGTCATGCCTCGCTCTCAATACAAACAGTTATATGTACAGAAAATAACTAAAATGAAAAAAGAAGTTAAATCCTAACTGCTCATATTGAAACCGGAAAGCATTGAAGTAGCAAGAAACTTCATAGCAGAACATGCCAAGTCCATAGCAAGACCAAACTATTTTGCGTCTAACAATACCTGCAGTTCAAAACCAGGAGCTTAAGCTTCTCAGGATCCATAAATAAAATTAGGGTTAAGATTAACATGCCGATTGGAATTGTATTGACAAGATTGGCAAGTCACTACAAGTGACCAAGTTACAGGGCAGATTTTTTTTCTTTTTTGGTATGACCATTCGACAGATTCTACGAGTACCCTGGAATTCTAGGCTAAAAATGGAGTAAACCAACTACTTGATAATCTGTTACAACAAAGTTGAAATTTGCAATACCAACGGCCAGCAAAGCAGGTTTAATTATTTGCCACAATCCAGAACACAAAAATGGCATTGATAAAAATTATATGCTTATATTGATATTCAAAATTGTCAAAAGTTAGGTAAGTTAAATTCATACCTGTTCGCATATCACTCACAAGCAATCTTAGTGTCAAAGCTACTAAGGCAGATAACAAATGCCTGAAAAGCTGAGATTGGATACTGATAATCCATAGTGAATACATCCTTCCCCACTTTCCCAAACTGCAGTATGACATTCTCATGCTCCTGCCCACCAACTCCATTTAATGGAGATGCAGCCAGTTGAAAATTTTTGACTGAAGCAACTGTCACCCGTCCATTAAAGTTCAGGCACCAGCACTGGAGTTGTCCGTGCCACCTGGGTGACTTGTTCCTCAATACCAGCATTTCATCTTTCTGCTCAGACAAAGGTTCGGATCGGAAACTCTCTGAACGGGTTGATTTTGATCTAAAGAACAGCAGTGATGGGAAAGTATCCAGATTACTGTGTAGGAATTCAGTCTGTGTGGGAGCAACACCTCCGGGCTCAATAGAAGAGGCTGGGATGGCATCCATGACACACTGCATTCTCCGTGGTCCTCTATAGTACAGAATATATTAATTTCAGTAAGCATGCCAAAACTAGGTGATAAACGATGACCACCCCAAGGCAAAGAGAGAGAGAGAGTAACTTTCTAATTGCTCCTTACCTAGAACCCAAGACATTCAACTCATAAGAGATGTGAGCTACAGGATAGTTGCCAGCTGGGACACGTGGAGAAACTTGCGTCATATTAATTAGCATGGTGGAGGAACTTTTAGTAACCTTGGCTCCAGCATTTGGAGGCTGTGCATCATATACTGTGAATTTGGTCCGTAAAAAGTTTGATCTGTTAAAGCAAATCAAGGTAAGTTTAGATTTCTGAAATTACTAACATATGATGTATCAGCAAAATCATAAACCACCGGACAGTACCTCAACTTTCCAATGTAGGTACTGCTTCCTTTCAACACATCATTGCCATTTAATGAGATGATATAATCTGTGCAGGTAGGACGGCGGCACTTCCTTGCAGCGAGGAGGAACTTTCCATCATCATTTGAAGCTGCCAAGTAAATGCATAACGCAAAACAGTTTTATATACACAACTAAGAAAAGATACCAAAAGAGATACAAGGCACTAACCAATCACCTCAAAAGAAAGAAAAATAAATAAAAGCAGCTGACCTTGATTCAAACAAAGGTAAAGATAATATGTTTGGTTGCTACGGTTACGCTTTATGTAACACTGAAGAAGGGAGTTCCTTGGACCAGGCTGCAAAAGCAAATAACAAATACTGTGAACATATAAATATCCAAACTTTTCACTTATCATGGATAATGAATAATGAAAACTGCTTCTAGTCTATTCTCTATTATCTTAGATAGGTGCCTTTAAAGCAATTATACAGTCAAGTTCACAATTCATCTCAGGATAATTTCTTCCTTTAGAATTCAAAATTTATTAATCGGTCACTTATGAAAAAAAAAAACTGTTGTGATGCAGCATGATAAACAGCATCAACATATTTCTAACTTTAGGTTCTAAACTTCCCAAAGTGTATGACAAGGCGATCCTAGAATGCAAGACACATCTCAACTAACAAATCAGCGGAAGGTAGTAATTGCCCCTCATTTTTCATATTATATACCCACCATTTATTATGAAAGCACAATTGTGAGATTGGGTGTCACGTGTCAGTGAGAGAAGCTCCAGCTTCTCTCTAACCCGCATTTTCAAATTTCAAATTCCCCCAGGCGTTTTTGAAATTTTTTCTCTCCTCCGACTTACACCCGTTGTCCGCCGCCGTCATCAGCCACCCGCCGCCTCCGTCAGACGCCGTGCCCGTCAGACGCCGCGCTGGCCGTCACGTCTGGTGGCCGTTGAACACCAAAACTTCCAGGTTTTTTCGACTCGACGCCAGCAACAAGGATCTAGGCTTCGTTTCACCAGGGAGAGCCTACAACTCAGTGGATCTTGGACGTGGCCCTTCGACTTTTAGCTGTTAGCGACGCTTCTTTCTTTTTCTCCGACGACGGCACGATCTACAATAGCAGTATAGTCATTATCTTTACTTTCTCCATCTCCTTGCGTCTGTCGTCTCTCCACAAAGCAATCAAGTCAGCCATGTTCGCCGCTGATCTTTAGCTGCAGTTTTGGTTCTGTTCATCACCCTTTCTTCCTTTGCTTTTCTTCAACGATAAAGCAACACAAAAGAAATGAGTTCCCGGAAACTTGAAGTGGGTCTTGCTACCCCTCACCATAACAAGTCCTCCCGACAAAAGCCAAGGCTAGCTGCAGAACATGCTTCGGCTTCGCAGTCTATGGAGGCGGGGATTTACAAGATACGAACTGCTATTGTGGCATTTGATCGCCTTGTTAATTCCCTCGGTTCACTTAAAGAAACCGCTGAATTACGTGACAAATTGCATAAGACAAGGCTTGATATTGAGCAGCTCGTTAAAGAGTCTTCAGCTAAACTAAGGGAAGCAAGAGAAGCTGTGCAAAATGAAGAAACCTTAAAGAAATTTGTCGATGACAAGCTTGCAGCTGGGAGGGAGATAGCAGATTCTTCTTCCGTTGCTAAAGAAGTTCGTCCATCAAGTTATGATGTCCATGTGATGGAGAAAAAGGTGACCAAAAAACGTGAGGAAGAAGAAGAGATGAGGGTTAAAGCTGTAGCTCTCGGGGCTAAGGTTGGCCGTCAGTCCAATAGTGGGGATAAAGAGGCTGGAAAAAGTTTGAAAATTCCAGATAAGAAGGCGAATTGAGTGGAGATTTTTGTGCCGAAGGTTACGGAATCAGAGCTTCATAAACAGAGAGTGGAGCAACAGGTGCCGACTTTGAAGATAGTGGAGAAGGCCAAAGAGAAGCAGTGTAGGATTGTGGCGGGGAAAAATATGAGAGGATGTTGTTGGAGTCCACCTCAAAGGGGTGCAGTAATGATAAGACTGGATGTTACACGTTATTTATTGATAACTTACCAGAGAACATTCACTGGAAGAGGTTTGGATCTTTATTTCGCACTCATGGTCGGGTTCTTGATGCTTTTATTCCAAATAAAATAAATTCAAAAGGAGTTCGCTTTGGTTTCATTCGCTTCGCAACTATCGATAAAGCAAGGAGAGCGATCTCAAAAATGAATGGTTCTCATATCGACGGAAGCAAAATTGGTGTTTATTTCGCTAAATTCAAACCTCGACAGTCCTTTTGGAGAAAGTCCTCGACATGTGTTATTCGCAAGTATGGTATGGAAGATGTTTTAAGGAAGAATCATTATAAAGTTGAAGGTGTTATAGATGAAGAAAAACTTCAGGTGTTGAGCAATTGTCTAGTGGGGTGGTACAAGAACTTTGTCAAAATTGGTCATCTCACCAGACAAATGCAAGCGAAGGGCCTCACTGGCTTCACCTTAATGAGAGCTGTTGGTAATGCGATTTTAATGATTTTCGAAGATAATGCTTCATTGAGAAGCGTGAAGAACGATAAATCAAAGATTCTCGCAGAGTGGTTCTCCATAGTCGAAGCTTGGTCAGAGAGTTTGGTAATGGAGTGTCGTCGAGTATGGTTAGTTTGCGAGGGTGTTCTTTTTCACGCATGGAATTGGGATACTTTCAAGAACATTGCTTATAAGTGGGGTTTATTACTAGCTATCGACGAAAGTTGTCAGTCTCCATCATCCTTTGAGCGAGCAAAAATTCAAGTCCTCGCAAAGGCTGATGCGAGAATTGATGCGATGGTGGTATTGAAGGTTGGTGACAACTTCTTCAAGGTCATGGTGCATGAGATAGAACCTTCATTCAAACCAAAATCTTGGGCTCCTGAAGAAGACGAGTATCATTAGATCTTGTCTCTTCAATTATGGTCGTTTCAATCTATATGGTTGTAGGTGTTGCTTTTAATTTGTATTATGTTCTGTTGCGCTGTTTTATTCCTACTGCTGGTGGTGTAATTAGAAGTAAGGTGATTAGACTGTGGCTTTGGATGAGGTCATATGAGGTTAAGGTGTTTGTTGTAATGGTGTACATCACCATGAGAGGATATTCCGTGGTGTCTTTTGTATCGGGTATTTTATCAATAAAATTTGAGGTACTCTTTTCTTCCTTCCAATGTTCGTTTACATACCTTTAGTATGTGAACGAATACGAAGGGAGTTTTTAATGAGACCTCCAACTTCTATCAAAAAAAATGAAAGCACAATTGTAAGGAGAGTATAACCAGAGAAAGGGACTGCGACAAATTTTTTAAATGCTAGGGAATTGTCCTAACTTAAATCAAACTTGAAAAGAAAAAGGAAAAAAGAAGACATACTAGAACAGTCATCCCACCAGGTGCATTCATCACCTATTGGTGTTTTTTGAGTAAACGTAAATGCTGCACAAACCAAGAACAACTTGGTGGCACTTGGCAGGCCTGGGAGCCATTTTATGAGATTTTCAGATGGTCGGATCATAGATACTATGGTTAGGAAAAAACTATTTTTAACGTATTTGAGTTTGAGTTATGGCTATAAAAGAATGAATAATTTTTCCCAGGATGTAGGAATTTATAATGTAATCATCTTAAATGGAGCTTAAGGAAAGAGGTACCAGATCATCATAGCATGACACCTAGACGAAGAAACTATCTATTTGACCTGTAACCTTAATTCAATATCCTGGTCTTCCCTTATGAGGGATGGGAACACTCTGGCACATTCTTTAGCTATAACACTTTATCCTAACGAGGTGAAGTTGCGTTGGTTGAGAACAGTTCACAATTCCTGATAATCTTGACTTGGAATCCATTGCAGTTGATTAGTAAAAAAAAAGGATTCAAAGGTAGAGCATAATAGAATTACTTTAAGCTCAATAAATAACCAAGTGAAAAGCAATTCAATCAAATAAAAAATAAAATTCACTTAACAGAAAAGAATAAAAGACAGGTATGCACCTAGTACCTGCTTCAATGAGATTGGGAATGTCAACTTGCAAGAAATTTCTGGGGGTTTCACAATTTCCTTCATAATCTCTCTCCAATTCCTACATACACCAGCACAAACAACCACATTCTTCCGTGGAGGCCAAGTACTCTCCGATGCCTCTATTCTCATCAACACATCCCTCAAAAGCTCAGGCGGCATATTTGCCCAACAGCTCTGCCCAAACACATCAACTGGAACTGAGCTATCCTGAACTACCCTGTGTGACCTCGATCTCATGCCATACCCAAACTTCCCATCAAACCCTTTTCTCGATATACTCCCCAACTCTCCCTTCATGTCATGGATAATGCTCTTAAACGACATCTATGCCTCCTAATCCTCTAAAATCCAATGATAACTTAACAATACACTTCACCTCTAAAATTTCCAATGGCTAAACAACGTACCTAAAAACATTCAATTCCGAAATCTCTCCACGATACAACCTAACATCTCCAAAATCAAAGCTCAAAAACGCAGAAACATAACCGACTAAACACTAATGATTTGAAATTGACAGCTAATCTCTCAAAATTCATACACAAATAAGCTATGAGCACTAAACAACATGATCCAGAACGAGAAGTCTAATAAGATTGAAAGCCGACTCCAAACACCGAAGTGACGGTTTCGCTCCTAATCAAGTTCTCCTCCAGAAGAATGTAGATCACCATAACTGGCAAACAAAAATATCATAAAGAAACAACACTTGGCACCAAATTTACCCTTCAGCCAATAAATCTAAACAAAATGGCAGCCGTGGAAAAAAAATCAACAAGCCTAAAAGGAAACGATATTCAAACCGACACCTGTAGATCTCTCTTCTTATCCTAAGTCCAACCAAGGCCCATCAAGCTACCAAATAATAAGAAACAAGACAATTGTGGAAACATCGAACCTTAACAAAGATCAAAGCATATGGAAAAACAACCGGGTCAACAAGGATCAGGATCATGGGGTCGAACCAGGTTTTGGGGTCGATGGAATCTAAGGTCGGCGGCCTTGGGCAGTGAGAAGCCTGCAGGTGCAGGAAGGGGGAAAGGTTAGGGCTAAGTTGCCAAAGTTGGTTGGGTTTGGTGCGCCCCTTTTTTTTTAGGTTATTGTGGAACTGTGATCGAGTGCCTGCCCCACCCCCAGGGGGTGATTTTATCCCACTGACACCGTTTGTTTTTATTTTTATTTTTCTAACATCGTTCGATCAATATTTCTAAAACTAGCACCCTTTCTGCTGAGTTGGCAAAGGCGCGTCCCCGGGGGCGCGCTTTACCCGGTTTTTCGCTGAGTTGGATGCCACGTGTGAAAGGCGCGTCCCCGGGGACGCGCCTTTGCCAACTCAGCAGACACGTATTTTGTTTTATAATAAATAGTTTATTTTTATTATTATTATAAATTAATAATATATTATGTAAAATGTTTCGATTATATTATGTAAAATGTTTCGATTATAATGTAAAATTATAACTAATAATATTAAATATTATATTAAATAAATATATTAAATATATTTATGTATTTAAAAGTTAAAAAAATTATTTAGGTGTACATACATTGACAAATTATATAAATGCAATAACATTAAATTATTAGAAATAAAAACATTCATTTAAAAACTTTAATTACATAAGAGTTAACGGTTATATGATGATAACAGAGCTGAACATTTTTTTCTATTGTGCCCGATGTTTCTACAATGCCCACATCGTTTTTGTTCTGTTGACTTCTCCCGAATATCCATATCACAATGTATTCTAGTAGATTTTGGACGACCTGAGTCCCTCAATAGCAATGGATCTGGGACAATTGTAAGCCAAGTTTGAATCTCATTTGGGTCTCTTTCGTTTCCTATGGGCGGAAACTCAAATTCATATACCTTGAAAACTTGTGAAAGTTGGTATACGGGATCAACATAATTTTTGTAGTCCAAATGCGAATGTGAGCAAGCAGCAATGACATGAGAGCATGGATATTTGAGTGCTTGAAAGAAACCACAATCGCACCACCTCTCTTGCAGATTAACTCTGAAAGAGTTAGCTTCAATCCCTTGCAGCGGACGTGGCATTTCGGTTACACGAAACAATTCACGGGTGCGAGAAAAATTTGTAACTAATATCCCATTTGATGTAGCCATTTTTTTCTGTAAATCGGCTACTAGTCTTGGGTGGTAAATATGTCCGTTTTGCATCCAAGTAAGAGCTTGTCCACCGAGTTTTGCAAAGAGTTGACCCAAACGAAAATAAGTCGTTTTGACCAACGCCGTGACTGGTAAATGACGCGCCCCCTTTAAGGTTGAATTTATTGCTTCAGCCAAGTTTGTTGTCATATGACCATAGCGATACCCCCCGTCATATGCATTTGTCCACATTTCTTTGCTGATGTCCATAATGTACTCGCACCCCTTCTTATTTTTGCCAAACAGCTCTTGTAGCATCGACTCAAACCTTTGAGGTAAGAGTTCGTAACCTAAGTCATTAGGAATATGTAATAGTTAATATGAAGTATAAATAAGTAATAAGAAATTGATAGAAAAATTGGGAAAAAGTAACATACCCATCCGCACGACTAACTGACGTTCATCGTTCTTCTTGTATTTTCCGTAATAGTTTGCAGCAATATGACGGACACAATAACGATGTTGAACATGTGGAGGTCTATACATTGTACCCAAAGAGTCCATTGCTGCTTTTATCCCGGCTCCTCGGTCTGAAATAATGCATACTCGTTCCCTGGTGACAACATGTAAACGTAAATTTTTAAGGAAAAAAGCCCAAGACTCAGTGTCTTCTCCTTGAACGAGGGCAAACGCAACAGGAAGAATATTGCGGTTTCCATCTTGGACCACAGCCAATAATAAAACTTGCTTGTATTTCCCATACAAGAAAGTACCATCAATTTGGACAATTGGTTTACAGTACTTGACTGCATTAATACACTGAGGGTAAGTCCAAAAGACTCGGTAAAATTGGCAGCGATCGTGAACCATTCGATCATTCACGTAATGATGTTGAGTTTCGAACTCAACAATTGTCCCGGGATTAAGTCTTTGCACAACATGAAACCAACTGGGCAGCTCGTTGTAAGAGGAATCCCATTCGCCATGAAGTTTGCAAATGGCATTCTGTTTTGCCAACCACGCTTTTTTATATGAGACAGTGTACCCATATTGGGACTGTATAGCAGAAATCAACACTGCAACAGCTATATGAGAGCTTTGCTTCACAATGGGCATGATTGCTTGACAAATAATGTTGGAGTCCAAGTTGGGATGATCCTGGTTTATACCTGTTGCACAACATGTATGAGGACCGTTGTATCTGGTTAGTTCCCATAAGTTGTTCTTCCTCTTCCTCTTTGATACACGGACCATCCATTGACATCCGTTGTGACGTTGGACGCAGTAGCAGACATATTTCTCCGTGTTAGATCGATCAACTCGGGACTGAACTGAGTTACGAATATTGTAACTCTTTATTGCCATCATTGCTTCCTCCTTCGATGCGAACTCCATTCCAATATGTAAATTACCGTCATTGACTGATGATTGAAGTCCATAGTTTCCAACATCAGGAAGATCTGGAAATTCAGGCTCATACATTGCATCATAATCAGCCTCATACATATGTGCAGGAAGTTCGGCTGGTGTTGTATTTATCGAAACGTCATCCTCGTCATCATCAGAATGTACGTTAAACTGTGGTGAGTCAGGTTCAACGAATAATCCCGTTTCAGCACCATCTGCACCTGGCTCCCGAAGAGGTTCTTCTGGTGGAGATGAGGGTTCCTCCGATAATCCAATGTTGAGGTCAAATAAGTTCCCGCTTGCGTGTCCTCCCCTTGAACTTGAGGCCATTGTATCATGTGGGATGTGAATAGACTGTCGTCTCGTTGGCATTTCCATATGTAAGTCGAAAACATTGGCAGATGAATGTCTGCCCCTTGAAGTAGAAGAGATGTTGCCATATGGATTATTGGTGAAGCCACGTGGGTTGAGATCATAAGCAGTTGCAGATGAATGCCTTCCTATTGAACTTGATGGCATGGTATATGGCGTTGGATCCGCCATTAATGATGTGAAATCATTACAGATAAGTTGTGTCGGGCTATCAACTTGATCAGTTTGATATGCAATGCCAAAGTGAGAGGAATATGAGAGACCACGAGTTACACGAACCTCAATAAAAGTGGCATACATTTCAATAAGAGATTGTGAACTCCCCATATGAGCATCAACCATCATAGAAACATCATCATCGTTTGAAAGCTGAAATGATGTATACGTGAGCGGAAAAAGTTCAGTAGGAAATCTGTATTGAAGTGAAGATAGTCTTCTCTGGCCTGCTACACGAATCTTTAACGAAATTTTTGTGATTAACTCCTCAATTGTGATGTTTCTCTTCAAGGTTAAGGGGATATAATGATCTGACTCAAAAACAACCCCCTCTTCAGCTTCCTTAATTTCTCCATCATACAAAACAACAGCAGAAAGACGACTCATTTTCAGAGAATTTGAGAATTTAGAGTTTGGGAATTTGAGAATTTGAAAGATTGTGAACTGAAGTTTGTTTTGAAAGTTTATAATACGTTGCATATAATAGTTTCTATAATCGGTTCACTATTCACGTGAAGGCGCGTTCCCGGGGGCGCGCCTTCCATTATTTCGTCAGAGAATATTATCATTGCCCTATTATGTCATTCATGTACCTCGGGGACACTAGATATATCAGTACCTACTATTTCACTATTCACGTGAAGGCGCGTTCCCGGGGGCGCGCCTTCCATTATTTCGTCAGAGAATATTATCATTGCCCTATTATGTCATTCATGTCCCTCGGGGACACTAGATATATCAGTACCTACTATTTCACTATTCACGTGAAGGCGCGTTCCCGGGGGCGCGCCTTCCATTATTTCGTCAGAGAATATTATCATTGCCCTATTATGTCATTCATGTCCCTCGGGGACACTAGATATATCAGTACCTACTATTTCACTATTCACGTGAAGGCGCGTTCCCGGGGGCGCGCCTTCCATTATTTCGTCAGAGAATATTATCATTGCCCTATTATGTCATTCATGTCCCTCGGGGTCACTAGATATATCAGTACCTATTATTTCACTATTCACGTGAAGGCGCGTTCCCGGGGACGCGCCTTCCATTATTTCGTCAGAGAATATTATCATTGCCCTATTATGTCACTCATGTCCCTCGGGGAATAACTTAAATTTAACTTCTTTTGAATGTTCAACAAGTTAAGAATAACTTAAATTAAAACGTTATGTGAAGTTTGAATAAATTAGATAAAATGTTATTGATAAATTGAATAAATGTGAAGTGATAAGTTGATTGTGACATTGAAATTGTATGGAATGAGCATTGAAATGTGACATTGAATAAATTGCCAATTCACCCCCCTCTTGGTTGATTACGTCGATCGATGAACTCAACATAAGTTGATTTTAATGTATACGTTTTAATATATATGTTAATGATAAAATCATATGTATGGAGTCCTTTAATTTCAATTTAAGTATTGTGAACTATAATTGGAATATAACTTTTAATTTCGAATACAATTGGAATATTAAGTTGAAATTTAATGTTAAATTTCGAATACTATAATTTATATTTTAAATTTAAATTTGAATAATATTATTTTTATTTTTATTTTAAATTTCGAATAATATAATTTGTATTTTAAAAAAAATTTATCAAACATTTAATGTTAAATGTGAATAAAAAATAACATAAAAAAAATATGTATGTAACAACCATGAAACATTTAAATAACATAACCAAATTACATAAAATTCTGAAATTTAATTATTTAAATAACATTAAATATAACTGGATCACCGATGTCGTCGTCTCGAATGAGTTCCACATGGCGGTGGTTGCCTATTTCGTGGAGGATTTCTTCGTGGAACTTGTTCTTCAGTCTCCTCATCTTCACTATCATCATCAGCAGCATTTTCTTCATTTGGT